TGCCGAGTGTTAGCACAAATTTCTCACTGGTATTATTTCTTTGTTGGATTGCAGGCGTCCCGCGTGGCTACTGCTTCAAGGCGGCTGTTGGTTCCTGTAGCCAGTCGTGCATGCTGAGCTGCAACTCCAAGCTTTGCTTGGTTAGGGCGTCGGCCCACATAAGTGAGGTTGGTATCCAGTGGAACCGCTCAGCTGACACTACCTCCTGAATGGCCCTGATGTTCACCAGTGATCTTTTATCACTGAGGTTGGGGGAGTCACTGACCACAACGTCGTACAAGCTTTTGGCATCGGTAACCGATATGTTATGCATACGACTTCCGACGCGCTGGGCAGGAACGCTGTACAAAAGCTCCCCAAGAAACATGTTCACATAGGCACTCCGGTCACATGCCTCGTCGGCTGCGCAGCTCTCGGCCGCCAGAGTCGAACGGCACACCCTCTGCGAGCGGGAAGACTTCCAATCCACCACCATGGCCGGCACGGTCTTCTGGAGAACAGCTGCCGAGCACAAAGTGATCAACACGCCGCACTGGGACCGGCTCTCTTCGGCATTAGCCCAGCTTGCGTCCGAGTAGGCCAGGATCACCGTTGCCTTGTTCACGGGGACGTCGGGGATGATGAAGCCGTGGTCCTTTGTCTCGCGAGCGAAGTCAACGGCCTGGTAGAGGTCGCGAAGGTCCCCCAAAGTGGTGTTTGCCCCGTGGTTGGCCAAACTGTTGACGGCAGCCAGCTCGGGTCGACACTGTCCACTGAGCCACTGGAGGCATCCGGCCACGCTTCTGAACTCGGCTCGCTCCTCCACCGTGAGGTGGCGTTCCATGTTGCTCCCTCTGGGAATCTTTCCAGGAGTCAGGCCTTCGATGAACTCGCGCTGGCACACGTGGAGCAAGATGCGTCCAGAAGGGCGCGCCTTGAGGGTGAGCTGTTTGCCCTTGAAGGTCACCGTCTTGCCGATCTCGAACTCCTGGAGGGCGCCCCAGCGGAACGCGTTGGTGACCTCGGTGATGTCGTAGTCCTCGCGGTAGGTTCCGATGAAATCGTCCACGTAGACAATAATCATGGAAACAAGCTGGTCGCCGTGGAACTTAAGGAAAACCATCTTGTCGAAGGAGTGCTGCCGGTAGCCAACCTCTTTGAGGCGCGAGATCACCGTCAGTGACCACAGCCTGGGGGCGTTGCTGAGGCCGTAAATGTTGGTACACACCAGGTAAAGAGGGGCCTTCCAGCAATCGGTCATGGCGGTGATGCCATCGGTGGGCGGCAGCAGGTACAAAGGCTGGTCGCGCTCCGAGGCAGAGATGTCCCCCTGGAGGAACGCAGTGCTTGCGTCACCGCTCCATGCTTTCCAGGCGAGGCCGGTGTCGCAGAACTCCTTGTTGTGGCCCGCCGGGTCCTTGTGTCCGAGCGCGACCACCCTACACATGAGTTCGGTGAGTCCGCGGCTCTTGTCTCGAAAGCAGCTCCTTGTTCTCAAGATGCGTCGGGAGAGGATCTTGTCCTTGAGAACGCGCTGGGCCTCCTCGTGGGAGAGCTCCTTGACGGAGCCCCAGTCCTTCCAACTCTGTGCCTCCTTCAGGGTGGCCTTCTTGAACACTTCGATAGAGGCGGTGTCCATCTCCAAGATTTTGCGCCAGGGGATCTCGGCCTTGGCTTCAGCTCGGGGGGCGACCAGTGTGTCGCCCGGTCGCGGTGTCATCCCAGTCGCTGTCGCTGGTGTCGGTCTCGGCTGCGTCCTTGGTGGTGCCGTGGACGTCGTCCTGTCGGTGAGGAGAGCTGAGGTAAGCTTGGTAGAACAGCTCAGGTCGTGGGCCGAAACCTTGGTCCAGGGAGTCTCCAGGAGAACACCGGTGGGTGTTGCCGTCCTCGTAGAACAGGCTGACCAGCGCGTCAAAGGGGCGCTTGGCCGGCAAGAGGTTCTCGCCCGTGTTGGAGCTCAAGCTGTCAGTAACTGGAGTGGTCGGTGCCCTTGACTCACTTGACGTCGAGTGTGCCCCGGGAGCTTGTGGTACTGGAGGTTCCGCTTGGTCTGTGTCCGGAAGTGCGTCTGCAGGCTCGTGTGGCACAGGTTGTGGTCTCCTCGTCAAAGCCAGGGATGTCACTGAAGGCTGCAGACTCGTACTGTGCTGACTCTAGCCCGACTTCTAAAGGAGTCGGTGGCACAGGGACCGGAGGTTCTGGTAGTACTTGCGGTAACGCTTGTTGTTCTTGACGTCCTTCTGAGCCTAAAGACGGCCTGGGGACCGGAGGTTCTGGTAGTACTTGTGGTAACGCTTGTTCTTGAGGTCTGTCGGTCCCCTCCTGGGCCGCTGCTATGGCCGCTGGTGGTTTTGGAGGCAGGGCTGCTCTGGGAGTCCGTGGTGCCGAAGTTGCTCGTGGCGTCCGTGGCACAGAAGTAGCCCGCCGTGCACCTTGTGCAGGGTCTCCAAGACGGGCCGTGTTCTGCTGAATGATGGTCTGTCGCATGTTGGGCTGGATCACCACCGTCTGGTTCTGTTGGCTCATCTGCAATTCTGCTCCTGCTGAGGTCCAGGTGGCGGCGTCGGGGGTGCTGCCACGTTCGCTGCCACCAGCTCGGGAGTCGTGGAGTCGAGAAGCTCGAGGTCGACGTCGACGGGTTCGTCTTGAAGTTGTCGTTCAGGAGGAGGTGGTCCGGTGTCGTCGGACCACAAGGTTTGGTCCAAGCTCTTGGCCGCATCCTTCAGCATCGTCACCTCCTCCTCGGTGGGAACCCAGGCCTCGAATCCAGTGGCAACCCTCAGCTGCTCGATTGCCACCATTGCCGTCGAAGTGCCGGAGCGTACCCAGGCCAATTTCCCAGGCGAGCTCGGGTCCCAACTCAAGAACTTGGCAGTGACCCAACCACCACGCTTCTTAATGCCACGCTTTCTCCATCGCCAGTAGGCGCATGGTTGCCCAGGCTGCAGATCAGCGACCTGAACGTGTCTTGTCTTTCTGAGCAAGGCCCTCCTCAAACTCTGCTTAGTGTTGAGCTCGCTGATGGCTTTAATGGCCTCGGATCGGACGATCTCGGCAGAGGCGGCGGCATCGGTGGTCGGAGTGTTTGCCAACGCGAAGCCGTCGGTGAAGAGGCCTCCAGGAAGTCGGGGAACACGGCCAAAAACAGCCTGGTAAGCGCTTCTGCCCCGAGTCAGCACCATCGAGTTCACGGCGCGCAAAGAAGGTGCCAGGATGAGCTGCATCTGGTCGACGTCGGTGGCGGCAAAGGTCTCGGTCATCTTCTCGAGGACCGTTCGAAGAAAAGCGTTCTGTCTTTCGACCTGGCCGATCTGCCAGTGCGCGTCAGCTGCGCAGTAGCTGACCAGGACTCCGTGGGAGCGAAGCCGCTCCTCAAACGCGCCTTGAAAGGTGCCGTCGGGATCCACGACAATCTGGGTCATGAGGCCGAACGGTCGAAGCCAGATTCGCTCCAGGGCCTCGTAGGCTTCGTCAGGTTCCCTTCAAGGCAGGATAGCCGCTTGGTGCAGCCGTGTGGCCGCGTCCACCACGCCAAGAACGATGACGCTGCGGCCTCGAAGGTCACGAGTGTAAAAGATATCCGCCTCGACCCTGTCTCCAAACTGGGTCGCTCGGGTGGCTATCGTCGCGGGTGGTGGTTGTTGTGGTCCTCGAAGCCGCTCGCAAGTTGAGCACCTCAGCTTCCTGATGGCCTGCAAGAAGAGGTCGCTTGGGTTGCCAGTCTGCACGGCCACAAGCGAAGCAGCTCCTGTGGCGAAGCATGTCCCAAGTTCACGTGCGCCCGCGCAATCGCGCGACGCACTTCGACTGGCACCGTCGCTGCCAGCCCGGGGAAGCTGACGTCGGTCGGGAGCCCTGCCACGGGTACTTCCGGAGGGGCGTCTGGCTGAGGGCCCGCGTCATCTTCCAGCAAATCCCCGTACGCCAAAATAGCATACCTCACTGCCTTAGCGAACCTCTGCTTCGGCTGCTGCACCAAGTTGAGGTCCTCGACTTCAACGGCGCGGCTGCCGTCGGCAAACATCAGGAAGGCGGCCCTGGCGGTGTCCTCCTTTGTGTCGGGGTTTGGACGCACTGGATCCTTCCCAGGCGCAGGCGAAAGAGGTCCGCGATCTTCTTGCCGACCTCCCCAGCTGGATCCACATAAAACGGTCTCGAGCTAGAGGTGCCAAAGGAGCGGTGCAACATCTCGGCCATCTCGTCCCAAGCTTTGAGGTCGGTCACGGGGGTCTGGTACGCGACGAGGGTGTGGTAGATGCCGAACTTCATGGGCTCCTTGATGCTCACATAGTCCCGGATCATGTGCGGGATGGTCGCCAGGGGCTCGTGGTAGCCGTGGTGGTCCTGGGGGTCGTCTCGGCCGTGAAGGTAGTAGCCCGAAGCCCCAGGGATGTTCGTGTAGAGGTCGGCGTCCTCGGTCTCGAATTTGTTTCCAAAAGAGGTGTCGTGCCACGGGGCAAGGTCGTGGCCGTGTTTTGCCACAAGTGCAATGGCGAGGGTGGCGTGCCCCCGCGCCACCGAACGTGCTTTTCTGGCCCCATCCTCGAGTTCCACGATGGCGACGCAGTGCTGTCCTTCTTCTTGGGAGAAAAGGCCGCCCGCATGTCGTCGAGCGACATGTGTGCAGGATGCTCGAGGTCGCCTTCAGGAAGTCGCGGGCCAGTGTCGCGCAGTGGTTGTCCTTGGGCTCGTTCAGGAACCTGGTCGGGAGCTTGCTGTGGTAGTCGCGGAGGTGCTTGGCCGGGACGATGTTCTCGAAGACGCGGAGGCTCCGGCTCGTACGGGTCATGGCGCTGGGCCCTTCTCGAAGGTATAGAGGAGGCCCCAATCGACACGGTGGGGTCGTAGGTCAAGGCCTCGGACTCTGCTCGCTCCGAAAACTCTGAAGCCCCATCGCCAGACGGTGGTGGAGGAGGGTCGCCTCGCTGTCGTCGGTTCCGTCGTCGCCTTCGGCCGGCTGCTGGTTGCTCCTCGCCGGTCCTCGCTGGTCTGCCTGGAGGGGGTCCACGAGAAGGAAGAGGCCCATGTGCAGGAGGCGCAGAAGGGGCGTGGGGCACATAATGCCACTCGCCCTGTCCATGTTCCGCCCGCCGCGAAGTCGGCCGGTCTATCCTGTAGTGCTCGAGTGAACCACACGTCCGGCAGCGAAGCCTGCCGAGGTAGTCAGGGAAGAGAGCATCGCTGTCACACGCAGCGCACCTCATCACATCCTGAGCCGTCTCGGCAACTCTCGGTCCTTGGGTCGTGGGAGATGCCTGGTCCACGGCCTCGAGGTCAGGGATGTCATCGTCCTCGGCAAGTCCAAAGTCCATGGGCTCGGGGTCGTCCGCTGACATGTCAAAGGTCGGGACCAACGGCATCGGCACCCAGGCTCCGGTGCCAACTAAGCGAACGCAGCTGCAGCGCCCGCACAAGCAAACATGTGTTTTCCCACGCGGCGGTGGTGCAAAAGCAAAAGCAAAAGACTCAAGAGGGCCCCAACTCGAGAGGCGTGTCGGCAGAAGGCAGGGCTCATGCAATCCAAAGCGAAACAGCACATGCCGAGTGTTAGCACAAATTTCTCAACAACGACACGTGCTACCAGTGCTGCGACGTGATTCTAGCGAGCCTTCAGGGGAAGGGCTCAGCGAGTTCGCCTTATTGCCTCTATTTCGGAAAGCCAGACAGAAATTCACAGCAAGAGACGCACAACCTTCGGAGTCCGATTTTCGGTATGTCAAGCCATACTCAATCCTGAAACGGAAACCCTGCACTACCGGTTACAAGCGCTCGGCCTAGACCCTGCATTCCAGGCGGCGCTGCAGCGAGCCTTTCTTCAACTTCTTGGAACCTCACATCCTTCGATTCGTGGTGCTTGGGCTTCGCTGGGCTTTGCTTTGCGTCGGGCATACCAGGCCTCAGGCGCAGGAAGCCTCACATCAATCTAGGATTTGGGGTTAAAGGGTTAAAGTGGGTTCCAGGAAGTTCATCCACAGATTGTGAGGCTGTCACTAGTAAGTTAACCGTAAGGCTTTCTGTTGCAGTTGTCCATAAATTACTCATTACCCAGCAAGCCGCAAAGCTGTAAACGGTCAGCAACGTCCGTGTGCAGGATGTTACAGCGGACCCCATCGCCTCCCCCAACTGTTCAGTCCGAGCTCCAACACACATGCCCACGCACTGAGTGGGTCGAAGGCTGACTTGCGACAGGAGGTGCAGGTGGCAGGAATCAAGCGGCCAAGGATGGGGAGATTGAAACTTTCCGTTTGTGTCAACCGGAGCCGTGGGTTTAGAAAGAGCCCTGCCCCCTCTTCTCCACATGCCGAGCTTCCGCCGGCACGATGAGGTTCGCTACCTGCTGAACTCGGCGAAAACCCGACTCAGGTTCTGGAGCATGGGATAAGCCCATGAAGCTGTTTCCCTGTCACCCCTCTGATGTTACGTATGCAGATGTCGACCTCTCTGATTCTCGCCTTCCTCTCCAGAGCTACACAAGCATGTAAAATGGGCACCTGATGCACTCTGAGGCCGCATGGCACGAGCATGACGCATGATTCTGGTTCCTTCTGTTCTGGCTACAGTTTGAGCTTCGCAACTAATTACGGAGATCTGCAAACCGAGAATGGTAAGATGCAGCTGACATCCTGAGCCTTCCCTCAAAATCTACGACTCGCCAATGGATCACATTCGCCGGTATTTCCTGCAGCCGAAGCCCACGAGTCCCTGAAACCGACTCGATGCACGGCTCGAAACCTGAAGCCTCGGCCTTGAGCCGCTGCAAGAGCCAGAACAAATCATTCAATGAAGTTGAGATTCAGAACTTTCTGGAAAAGCAGGCCTGAGCTGCCGATAGCTGCTCCGCATGGCTATCTGCAGCCTTTGAAAGAAAGCCCCCCTGGGAGAGACCCGCAAGAAAAACCCGGAGAGAAACCTCCACCGCCCGGCCTCGCCGAACCGCACCTGCCCAGCGGCTTCGGGGTCTGACTTTCGGAAGCACGGCTCAAACCCGCCAGGGCTTTCAGCTTCCAGAGCCCGAGCTCTCAGGCTTGGGTCTTGGGCTTTCACAGGCTTTTCGCTGCACCTTCAGCCTTTAGATCCATTGAACCGTCTTGGCCTCAGCCCTCAAACCACCGCGTCGACAAAGCCTAACAACTCCGGCGCCCCAATCCCAAGGCCTTCTCGCCAGAGCAGCTATAAGCGGACACCTGGATGCAGAGGTTGGGCTTCTTTCCAACTGGCGGTGTTGAGGGTTCGGGTCCAGGGTTGGCCTGGATTTGGGTTTGTTTTGGGTTTAGGCGGTTTAGGTTGGGTTCCTTGTAGGACAAGAAAAGCAGTGCACGCCGGACAAGCAATCGGGCATACACTCGACCCCGCCCCACGTTGACGACCTGCTGGAATGATGGCCACTCCATCTCAACATCTTCTGCTCTTGGCTTCGGGGGTCACTTGATAATTTGCTCCATCTCAATGCTTTGTTCGGCTCTTCCTCAAAATTTGGGGCTCCCCATGCTGAATTTCCGGCACAGTCCGAAAACCCGGGCCCCATGAACAACGGCTTCTGGCTTGAAGCCACTCGACCCAATTCAACAACTTCTTCAAGAAATGCAAGAATCAAGCTCGAAATCGGGGAGGCCATTAGATTCATTAGATCCCACGAAGTGTCAGACATTTCAGACCCCGTGTTGCGAAGCTGGTATCCTAAGACGAACAGAACTGTCCTATCGGTCCTATCGACGGCCCGAGTTTCAAACCCGAAGCCCCGCCTCAATCTCATCGCCACATTGGATGACCCAGAGCGTGAGCACCTCCGAAGCGAGCGGAAGCAGGTGCGCAAGACCCCCATCACCCTAGAGTCTAGAGTCAGATGAGAAACAGGAGTCTACTTGATGCTTCTCGTGGGATGAAGGCTCGAAATGGTCTGCCCATTTATTCGACAAACCAGAGTAAGAAGGTTCAAAGGCAAAACGGATACCAAGGTGATGTTGATCATGCGGTTATGCTGATGATGCACAAGCAACACCAGCACTTCTGGTAGTGCACCACTGGTTGCACCCGTACTGGTCCTTGTCACGTCCATCTCCTCCTACCACTACTTCTGCGGCAACTACTCCTACTACTAGTACTACGACGACGACGACCATGTTGTGGTCAGCAGGATGTGGCACATTTCATTGCCAGTCAAAGGACGAAGGACAATGAAGGACTGCCAAAGAAGCTCGGCCTATGCCACGCACGACAGAACAGCCTTGGAGCGCACCTTATACTGCACAGTGCCGGTGTTCGGGTCGAAACCCTGGCCGACAGGCAGGATGTACCAAAACGGTAGCTCTGAGCATTTCTGCAGAGTGTGGAGGACTTAGGTTCTACGAGTAGTTGACATAGGGAGGACTTCTTAGGTGGGCCATGCCTAGACCGCAAGATTCTTTGTGGCTGGCATCGTGCAACGCCCGTGTATGCCCTTGGGTTCGGTTTGTTCAGACCTCAAATCCATGCCTTCTTCAATTGCTCTTGCTGGCCCCAAACCCACCATCCCCCCTCACGCCAACTTTGGTGCACTGGGGTTTAGCAAGGACTCTGGCGATCAGGTTCGGCCCCGGTGTCGGTCTTGCAAAGCAGCTGGTGGGGTCTCTGAAGGGCAAGAGCTGCCGTATTCTGGAAGGGACCTGAAACGAAAGGCAGCATGGATCAATGGGTATTTCTTCTGGTTGTTGTTAAGAATAAGGAAGGCCAAAGTGTCAGGCTGCTGCCACCACTACAAAATGCTAGTACATGCAGTGTGGCATACATAAGTCAAAATCGAGAGCCAGAAGAACTTCCGGACTTCGCAACCCCTGACCCAGCGCACCAGCGGTCGACGGAAGAGCAGCACATGAGGCTCGGGATTGTGGATTTCCTTGTCGCTGACAGAGTTTTTGGTAAGGTGCAGAGGGGGGGGGGCGAGGGCAGTTAGACCGCGTTTGGGAAAGACGATTGCTGACACTAGCTGGTGCCACCAAGAGGTGCAGTGCAAGTTGGGGCGGGAGCAGAATTGACATTAATATAATTAGCAGACAAAGGAAACTCGAGAGATCCAAGCGTGGAAAGGACAAACTTGAGGCCACACAGACACCGAGCCACAAGGAACATGGGGTGCAGGAAAAGTTCAGGGCTTGGGAGCTGGATTAGGATGCATGTTGCTGACTTGTGGGTGTGGCTTTGGAGTGTGAAGATACGGAAATCTTCAGCCCTCAAGCCTTTAGCCATGTCCGTCCTTATCCCAGGCTCTGGAATCAGCACCGGCTGGCGCACGCACACACACACACACGCACACACACACATCTGCAACGAAATGGCCATGGAGGGTGCAACCCACAGCCAGCTCCGCTCCAGGCTGTTATTACTGTTGATGATACAAATCCTGCATTTCCTTGAGGACCCTAAACTATGGGAATTATGGTATATTCCGTATTATGGGTAATGCATGGATTTATATCATCAGCAAGAAGTATCACTAAACCCCGAGTCCACCCCGCAACCCTTCTGCCGGCAAGTGACATAATGCTGCCAACCACGGCCCTGGCCTTTGGTGGAAAGCGGATTCGGGAATTCGCAACTC